TCACCAAAAAGAAAAGTCATTCTGGTTATATCTATGAGCATAGTATACTTAGCAGCCAATGTAATGCCACCATTGGGGATTTCCAGAAAACAGGACTCCATTTCAGTAGATCCCCAGTGGTTATCAATAATCTAGCCCTCCTTATGTTTGGTGTCCATCCACTATTGTGTCTACACCCTGGATCTTATTGTAGGGAGACAGAGCAGCCTGTTAATTTTTTTTTTTTAGAGAGAGAATTTTTTTTAATATTTAATTTTTAGTTTTCAGCAGACACAATATCTTTGTTTGTATGTGGTGTTGAGGATCGAACCCGGGCCGCACGCATGCCAGGCGAGCGCGCTACCGCTTGAGCCACATCCCCAGCCCCAGCCTGTTAATTTGAACACAGCTTTTTGGAGTCAAACAGAACTGACCAGAACTGGTCAGTTCTGTTTGACTTATTACCTACTTAATATTAAGCAAGGTTGTTTGTGTGTATGTGTGTGTGTGTTATTTTGTTTTGTTTTGATCTCTAAGCCTTAGTGCTGTTAAGAATTGCTCACAGCCCACAGGGTCACATTCCCATGTAAGGTATGTGTTGTGGGTTAAACACTCAATGATAGCTGTTGATAGAGTTTCATTGTTACTGTAAACTTAAATGTCTGTCCTTGACAGTCCTTTCATTTTTCTTACCCAATTTGTCACATCTATTCTGCTGTTGAACCCCATACCAAAAAACTTTCTCCATGTGAAAGAAAAAATAGCTGTCTAAGGCCTTGGGGTCACACTTTTCCAAATTTACATTAGGAAGACCCCCAAGGACTGGCCTACGCCTGGGTAAAGGAGGGGGGCTAAGCTAAGAGTAAGATATCAGAGAAAAGGTGGGCAGAGGCAGCGTGAAGTCAGAGCTCTGTCTTCCTGAGTAGGTGAAGTTTACACCTACGGTATTCAGGTAAATTTAAGAGCAGAGTCACTGAAACAGCTTTTTCTGGGGTAACTACTGGTTTGGCTTTTTTTTTTTTTTTTTTTTTTTTTTGGTAGTACTGGGTTCTGAACCCAGGGTACTTTACCACTGAGCCATATTCCAATGCATTTTTATTTCTATTTTGTTTTGAGACAGGGTGTTGCTAAGTTGTCCAGGTTGCCTCAGCTTCCTAAGTGGCTGGGATTACAGGTGTGTGCCACTGCACTTGGCTTGATTGGTTTTGAATGAATTATTTACAACACATATTTTGTCACAATCCTAATTTGGGTTGATGAGTTACACATCATAGGTAGGAGGAAGGAGGTGCATGGTAGCTGAACTCTTATTATCATAGTTTCTTATTTATAGAGAAGACACTTAGATTACATGACTCATCTAAGATCAGCCATGTAATAAATGGTGGGGACAGCACACTGAAAATGCCTTTTCAGCTGTTTGGCTCTCTTCCCCTGCTTATTCCTATAACAGCATTCCCCACCCCTTCCACCATTTCACCACTGCAGCAAAACAACTTGCCCTGACTCCATCCTTCCATAGAGGTGGGTGTTTAATCCACACCGTCATTATCAGAAGAGTGTCCTGTTCTGGACCCTGCATCAGGCCATCAGAAGCATTTCTGAAAATATTTCCTTTATGAGAGGAAGGGGCAGCCATCTCTTTCCCCTTGGTCATGTCCTCAGAGAACATTTTCTTTACCACCTACCCCTTGATGTTCATTCTCCTACAGCATCTGACCTTGTGTATCCATTTATGACTTTGTTTTCTCCCTTACCCTCCTGAGAATGAGTTTCGGGACTTGCTTATTCTCTTTCTTATGTTATTATCAGGCTTTTGTGCTTTATATATATTAGGCATTCACATATATATTTCTTGTAAGGGTGAATGATTCATTATTATTGGTCAGAAATTGTGAGAATATGACCCCACAGCAAATGGTTCATGGCATCCTCACTGTCTCCTCCTTCTCCACTTCCCCATAATCTGCCAAAATGCAGATTAGGAGGGGGATGAAGAATTTGTGACCTTGAGGAGCCAGCATCACTTCTCTGTGTCTGCACTATGTGGAGCTTCAGGACACACTTAACTGTGCCAGTTAAGGTTGAATTTCTATCATGTACCTGATCTAGTTCCACTAGCCCTTAGCTGTATCGAGTCTGTTGAAGTAGTGGGGGCACACTGGCTAAAGGCACAGAAAGATAATTCAAATGACTATTATATCCAGTTTTTGTCACCATGACAAAGTTTCATAACTTTTATATGACTTAGTCTTCATGTCTATAAAATAGGGATGACTGCAAGGATTGTTCCTAGGATTAAGTGTGATAACCCATGTGAAAAAATTTTTTAATTTTTTTTTTAGTTGTTGAATACCTTTATTTTTTATTTATTTTTATGTGGTGCTGAGAATCAAACTCAGTGCCTCACACATGCTAGGCAAGTGCTCTGCCACTGAGCCACAACCCCAGGACCTCCATGTGAAATCTTTAACATTGCTTAGGTACAAGCTGGGAGCTCAATTAAAGCTGGCTGTGATTACATACAGTACTAAATATTATTTATTGGTGCATTATGGTTGTATGTAACAATGGGATTTATTGTTACATATGCTTACCTGCACACAATATAATAATATAATTTGGCCAGTTTCACTCCCAATCTCTTCCCACCTCTCTCTGCACCTTCCTTTTGGTCTCTTTCTTCTACTGATCTCCCTTTGATTTTCATGAGATCTACTCCCACCTTTCTTTTTCTTTTCCTTTTTTCCTCTCTAGCTTTTACATAAAATATATATATATGTATGTATGTGTGTGTGTATATATGTATGTGTGTGTGTGTGTGTGTGTATATATATATATATATATATATAAACAAACAAACATATAGCCCTTGACCTTCTTATTTCACCAAACATAATGGTCTCTGAGTCCATCCATTTTCCTGCAGATGACATAATTTTATTTTTATTTTTTTGACTGAATAAAACTTCATCGTGTATATGTGCCACGTTTTCTTTATCCATTCATCCATTGATGGACACCTAGGCTGGTACCATAGTTTGGTTATTCATGTCATGTATTTCTGACTGCGTGCGTTACCTGTGTCCCTCACCTTGTCCAATCTAGTACAGACCACTGATAGGGAAGAGCTCTGAATGTGGTGGAAGTGGAAACCCAGGAAGTTCAGATGGGGTTTCAGCATCTGGGTTGTTCACTACGGTGAGAGAATGGTTTGGTTTGAGGTCTTTTGTTTGCTTTTGTTTGGTCCTGGTGATTTCCACAGGGGGAATACGATTCAGAGGGAATAAGTATATACAGAGAGTTGGCCTGTTCCTGTATCTCCAGGGAACAGAGCTCTGACTGGTAGGGATGGAGAGGGTGTACAGTAAAAGACAGCATTGGACATGGGTGCTAAGAGGTAAAAGATCCAAGGTTGAATCATATTTGGGGCTGCTTCAAGGGACAGAACTGGACTGGAGCATAGGTACTTCAAAAGACAATGGAGCCAGGCTCAGTGGTACACATCTGTCATCCCAGCAGCTCTGGAGGCTGAGGCAGGAAAATTGTGAGTTCAAAGCCAGCCTCAGCAAAAGTGAGGTGCTAAGCAACTCAATGAGACCCTGTCTCTAAATAAAATACAAAATAGGTCTGGGGATGTGGCTCAGTGGTGAGTGCCTTTGAGTTCAATCCCTGGTATCTGCCCTACCCCCACCCTCCTCACTCCCCCCTCACCCCCATCCCCCCACCCTCACCATTCCTTCACCCTCACCCCCACCCCACCCCCCAAAAAAACAATGGAAACAGTTCCAAACCTTCATCAGCTTCCCAAGGCAGGGCACTAAGGGCTGGCAGCCAGTGAAGCTTCTCACATTTGCTCCTACCATTTGGATGAATTGCAAATGTATAAAGTAATTTTTTGTAAGTCATCTATATTAGCCAATGAAAAAAGAAAAAATACCTTCCACATATACACACACACATAAACAAAATCTCAATTTGATGGAACATGATGAAAGGGTTACAATGGTTTTTGTTGGTATTGTCAGATTTGGTGTGGGCAAAAGCACTATAAGAGATTTGGCAGGGCGGGTGTCAGTAATCTGGAATATCTGTGCTCAAATTGCTTTGCATATGGTAAATTCTTGCTCTCCTTTAAAGAACAAGAAATAGGAAATCCTAGAGAACACATTGTAGCTGTGGTTAAGGCAAGAAAGAAAACAGGGAGCAACAAACAATGTCAGAGAACAGCTGATGCCAGATTGCCAGATAAATGTACTTTCATATTTTAAAATGTTTATAGTACACATATTTCAGTGTGTGTGTATGTACATATGTATAGTTACATGTTAACCCTATATGTCAATGTGGTATTATGAATAGTATTTTTTTTAAATGAATTTCCTATTTGGGCCATTAACCAGTTAACACTATGTATCAGTGGGTTCCTACTAAACTAGTGAATGGAGTTGTATAACATGTTTTGTTGCCTCCTACAAGACTGGTCTGTCAGCTTTATTTCTTAAGATTGAAAATATGACTTACAATGATGTTAATAACTATATTAACACTGTTATTAAAATAACCAGTATCTTTGGATTCCATTTCCAGTGGGATTTTTTTTATAAGTCACACTGATCTATCAGATTTTGAATCACATGGCTTTTACTTTGCCTTCTGAACACTGCATGGACATAATTGGAATTGTGGATTGCTCTAGTTCAGCATGAGCTCAAAGACAACCAGGGTCAGTGTGAGCCAGAGTCCAGGTGATAGGAGTGGAGAACAGGAATACAGATACTTGGCAGGAAGTTGGAAGATTCATTTGAATCTGGGGACTTGCTGTTTGGTTGAGATGTTTTGACTTCTAGGCATCAGGCAGCTAGGTCCAAATATGAGAATAAAGGCAGATCCTTCTAAAGCATGGCGACTTTTTCACTTTGTGTAATTTCATAATTCCATAGTCATTGATAGTTGAATTTATTATGTTGATCCATCAGTAACCTGCGACCTAAAAAACCCTGGCTTTCTTGTTTTTGCAGGTGTTGGGGCGATGTTTCTTGACAGTGGTACAAGTCCATTTCCAGTTTTTGACCCACGCATTACAGAAGGTCCAGCCAGTGGCTCATTCTTGCTTTGCCGAGTTTGTTGTGCCAGAAAAAAAGAACAGTGGTGGCAGCGGCTTATCTGCCATGGGCCATACACCCGAACTGGAGGAAGCTGTGCGATCCTGGCGGGGGGCTGCTGAGGTAACTGACTTTGGGGAGGTTGGGCCCTGTGTTCAAATGGGAGAGGATCCAGAAGGCCTTTGCCTATTGGTTCTCAAAAGGGCCATTTTCTTTAGAAACGTAAGTTTTAAACTGCTCTCATTAGCTTGTTCACTTATTTAACAGTGAACATCTTTGTGAATGCCCTTTGGGGCAGGCCTGTGCCAGGCACTGAGCTAACAGCTTTTTCCCACAGCCTGTTGGGAGAAGGCTTATAAAACCAGGGTGAAGAGAGCTGTGGTAGAGATGTTACAGGCAGAGAGGAGGAGCCCTACTTTTGAATAGGAGTGGTTCAGGAAAGCTAGAAGAGAGGAACAAAGGAGAAGTCTAGTGCCTAAATCAGCAAAGACAGGATGGAGCTGGCTGGTGAGGGAAATGCTCAGCAAGGAAGCTGGGTAGGTGAGCAGGAGTGTTTGGCAGACAGATGGAATGCCAGGCTCCAAAGCCACAACCATACCAAATGAAAACTCAGTGAATATAGGGATTTCTCCCTTCTAGTTCTGGAAATTGAACCCAAGGACAGTCTATTACTGAGCTACTTCCCAGCCCTCTCTAAACTTTATTTTGAAATAGGTTCTTGCTGAGTTGTCTAGGCTGGCCTCAGACTTGTGATCCTCAGCCTCCTGAATAACTGGGATTACACATGTTGCCACCACACCCAGCTGAATATAAGGAATTTTTTTCTTTCTTTCTTTCTTTTTTTTTTTTTTTCCAGTACTGGGGATTGAACCCAAGGGTGCCCTACCACCGAGCTACATCTCCAACCCATTTCATTTTTTAAAAAATTTGAGAGAAGATCTCACTAAGTTGCCTAGGCTGGCTTCAAATTTACAATCTTCCTACCTAAGCCTCCCAAGTTTCTAGATTATAGGAGTGTGCTTTTGTTTTTTGATAACCAAATCATTCTCTTTTAGAAGGCTTAACATATTTATAGTTTTTAGTTCTTTAAGATTCTTAACTGGTCCAACTCTACCTAAGCCCTCATTTGTCAGTTGCTTTGCATGTGATTTGAGCAATTCTCTAGTACTGCTTTATTTGACTCCATGAAGTCTTCAATCTTTTGAAAGATCATCGATTTCCCAGCACAGCAGATATGTTCATAAAACCCAGTTACCAACAAAGGGTAGACCAAGGAAGAGGTTGGCTCCACTATTGGGTAAATATCGCATTAGTAGGGCTGGTATGGCATGTTCATCAGGGTTGGAGGAAGAAGAAATGCCAGTGAATTAGTGAGTATTCTTATTTCCCACACAACCTAATGACTGAAGGGACCTGCCACAGTGGTGGGCAGCAGGCTTTCCCTGAGCCTGTTGGGCTGGAGAGTCCAGTCTAGCATAAGATTCCTTTTCTTTTTTCTTTTTTTTTTAGAGAGAATTTTTTAATATTTATTTTTTAGTTTTCGGTGGACACAACATGTTTGTTTGTATGTGGTGCTGAGGATGGAACCCGGGCTACACGCATGCCAGGCGAGCGCGCTACCGCTTGAGCTACATCCCCAGCCCAGGATTCCTTTTCTAGTCTCTGATTTGGCCTTCTCCACTCCTTTTCCATAACCAGAAGAATTTAAATATGAGCAAATCAAAAATACCTCTTAAAAATTGTCTGTGTTGGGGCTGGGGTTGTAGCTCAGCTGTAGAGCGCTCGCCTAGCATGTGCGGGGCCCTGGGTTCGATCCTCAGGACCACATAAAAATAAATAAAATAAAGGCATTGTATCCAACTACACCTAAAAAATAAATTTTAAAAAAATTTAAAAATTAAAAAAAAAAAGTCTGTATTATGGAGCCCTCTCATAAAATCAGTAACAACACATTTCTTTTTCTTTTTTTCTTTTTTTTTAAGTCTCAGAAAGTCTACATGTGGGCTGGGATTGTAGCTCAGTGGTAGAGCACTTGCCTAGCACTCATGAGGCACTAGGTTCAATCCTCAGCACCACATAAAAAAATAAATAAATAAAGGCATTGTGTCCATCTACAACTAAAAAAAAAAAAAAGAAAGAAAGGAAATCTGCTTGTATTATTATTATTTTTTTTAACTTATTTAACAATAAAAATACTCATATAGAAAAACATACTTTTGCTAACTTCCTGGAGGAAGGCTGTGCATTAAAGACTTTGTAAGTTATTAAATTTAGACTGTTTTCCTGGTTTTGAAAGAAATCCCTCAATTCCTCTGTGGGGTAGTTAGGAAGGCCTCTTGGAGCATGGCCCATTGATGGTAAGAGTGGCTGAGAAGCTTTTTCTTCTGCCCTGCCCCACCCTCCAGCATGCAGGTCTTCTTGTTATGATTAATATAGGTTGTTAATTATGAATTTTCTCTCCCTGAGAATACATCAAAGTTGGTAGACCCAGAAAGTATTCTGGGCATTAGGAAGAAATACATTTGGGACTAAAAACTGAGTCATATTGCTTGTAAATGCTACTGAACAATCACCATTTGTAGAACTTAGGCAATGTATTTTTTGCAGACATTGTAATACTATCCTTTGTTTTTAGTATTAGAAAAAAAAAGCTGTGACTTTATCTAGGACTTACTGCTGTTTTACAGAGTATATGATAGTTTATAGTTAAGGAATAGTATTTTGATTTATTGTCTAGTTTGAAATATTCCATAATTAAATTGGAAATGTATTTATTTTATGTCTTAGAAATCTCCTTTAATCCTGAATTTTATTTATTTATTTAGTGGTGCTAGGGATTGAACCTGAGGCCTTGCACACACTAGGCAAGTGCTCTACCATTGAGCTATATTCCCAGCCCTAATCAAAACTGTTAAACATAATTTTTCGGGGCTGGGGATGTGGCTCAAGCGGTAGCACGCTTGCCTGGCATGCGTGCCGCCCAGGTTCGATCCTCAGCACCACATACAAACAAAGATGTTGTGTCCGCCGAAAACTAAAAAATAAATATTAAAAATAAAAAAAAATAAAAAAAATAAAAACATAATTTTTCACTTTGATGGGTGGTCAGTTGAGACCTTTGTCCTGTCATTTGGCTTCACCAACCTCTCTCTCTCTCTGTCCTCCTGTCTTCTGGGCTCCAGCCTCCTGACTATTCCACTCACATTTGGAAACCTTAGTACCTGGTCACTCTTCTCTGCTCCATCTGCTGGCATCATTCATGCTGAAAATTCACCCCACAGGAGACCTTCTAGGGATCCCTTGACCATCTCACCTGACCTTTTCCTCCACCCACTTTAGTTTTTCCAGTCTTTTCTTCCCTCTTCACACTCCCTTTGTTTCCACCTAGTGCCCCTACGCCACTACACTGAGAAAACAGAATCCCCCTGACATTAGCCTTTCTTCTCCCATTACCAAAATGCTGTTGCTCACCCCGCTCCCCACTGCTGCCCCTGCCCCGCTTCAGACTCATCCTTCTTCCTTCCTGACAACAGAGGAGGTGCATTCTCCAGTCCAGAGCTTTCCCCAACCCCACTTGGCCCCCATCCTTGAGGGCCTGGCTTCTGTGGTGGGGCCCTGTGTTGTTTTGGGTTGTGGTGGTGGTGGTGGTTGTTTGGTGGTACTAGAGATTGAACTCAAGGCATCACATGCTTAGTAGTCAGGCTGTCTACCATCAAGCTACATTCTTAGCCCAGAATCCTGTATTTTCTCTCTTTCATTCTCCATCTGTTTCTACCAGCATTCAAACAGGAAAATCCACCTTATTTCTCCACCTTTTTTCTCTGCTGTTTTCACAGCTAACTTCTTGGATCAGTTGTCTGCCTTTTTCTCACCTTTGATTGATTCTAAAGATAATTATTATGAAGGATTTCAAGCATATTGAACAAATGAAGCTTAACTTTTTTTTGCAACATTTACCTCATGCCTTTTATTTTTAACCAAAAAAATATTACAGTTGTAGTTGAATCCCTTTTGTACCTCTCTGCTATCTTATTCACATCCTTTACTCACTAGAAGAATTTGAAGTCAATTTGGAGTCTGGCTTCTGTGTATATTTTTATATTTTTACTATATGTGCATGTTTTCATACATAATATAAGCTATTATTTTGCACAATTTGAAACTTTACATAAATGTCATCATTCAGCTCCCTGAAATCTGGATTCTACTCTTACACAAGAACATGTCTTCTCTTGTCAAAGTCACATGTGCCTTTCTTTTGTATTTTCAGAGCATTCAGCTGCTCACAGTATCTCCAAGGGGGAAATACTCTTCTCGTAGCAGAGGCTTCTTCATGTCTACTGTCACTACCCTAGTTTAGAGGATCATTATTTCTACTCAGGACTCTTTTCTCCTCTCCTTGATTTGCTATTTTCATTTTAAAATTGGATGATGTTGCTTCTCATATCCTTAGGGGCTGTGGACCCCGCAAATCCTGCCATATCTGGCTTCTTTGGTCACTCTCCCCCTTGTCACTGGGCTACAGATCCTTGGCTATGTCTCATTCTTCACCTTGGTTCCTTGGTCTGTATTAGTACCTGTCTGCTGGTCCTGACACACTCTTATACCCCTGCAGTTCCATTGACTACCTTCTCCCTTAACTCCCAGCCCTTTTTTCAGCATCTAGGATGTTCCCTGTTACAGTGCTATATTTGCTTCTCTCAGTGTGTTTTCTGATTTTTAATTCTGTTTTGTCTGCCTTTTTGGTTCATGAGCATATCAACTCCAGGAGGGCAGGGGCCAGGTTTTGTGCTCTAGAATGTATCTGGAAATAGCCAACATAACCCCCTGTGGGCAAAATATTTGAGTGAATTATATTTTTTTGTTTTTGTTTTGGTACTGGGAATTGAACCCAGGGGCATTCTACCTCTGAGCTATATTCCCACCCCACTCCACCCTTTAAAAAAAAATTTTAGTTGTAGATGGACACAGTACCTTTATTTTATTTATTTATTTATTTTATGTGGTGCCAAGGATTGAACCCAGTGCCTCACACATGTTGGACAAGCATTCTACTACTGAGCTACAACCTAAGCCCCCCCACACACACCTTTTTTTAGTTTTTCGTTTTGAGATGGGGTCTTGCTAAGTTGCTGAAGCTAGCCTTGAACTTGGGAACCTTTTGCCTCGATTTCCTGAGCAACTGGCATTGAGTGAACAATTCTTTTTTTTTTTTTCCGAGGCCAGGTACCGAGGATTGAACTCAGGGGCACTTGACCACTGAGCCACATCCTCAGCTCTATTTTGTATTTTATTTAGAGACAGGGTCTCACTGAGATGCTTAGCACCTCGCCATTGCTGAGGCTGCTTTGAACTAACGATCCTCCCGCTTAGCCTCCTGAGTTGCTGGGATTACGGGTATGCACCACTGCGCCCAGCATGTGAACAATTCTAAATTGTTTTAAACTGTAAGACTGTTAGGATTCAGGGAATGGTAATTTATATATAATTTGTGAAACTAAAGCTTTGGAATATGACAACATGGAAGCTGTTAGTTGTTTTCTTGTAGTCCTACAGGTTTGATAAATATTACAGTTCCTAGCCTGTCCTGGAAGAACAAAGGTAAACTATTAAAAAATGTTATTTGTTTCACAAATACTATTGCAACAAAACTAAAAATTGAAAGACAATTCATTTTTAATCCCTTCACCCCTCTAATAAATCAAATATATATTTTTTTGTATTTTCTTCTACTCCTGACCCACATCTATGTTTCCATTTCATAACATAATTTCTTCCTGTTTTTCTGTCTTGCTTATATACTCTACATAAACATACTTACTGCCTGAAAGTGGGGGGAGACAAGGTCTAAATGAATTGATAAGGGCCTCACTAAAGCCTCACTAAGTTGCTGAGGCTGGCCTTTGAACTTGTGACCTCCGTCTCAGCCTCTGGAATCACTAGGATTACAGCCATGGGCCTGCTGTGCTCAGCTATATTGGTATGGCTTTTTACTTCAGTTCACTCAACTAGATATATTATTTTGTTTTCTCTTCTGGAAACTCCAAATGCCAATATTCTAGGTTATCTATCTTTAAAGCAGGGAAATTAAAAATGTGTAAATGTTTATATGTATGTACATAACTAATAACAGGTAAATCTTTTTTCCAGTGTTTCTAAGATAAAGTAATGTTACATCAGGTTTGCTTTCTCTTTGATATAGTTAATTTAGGCTTTCAAAATTTTGGGCTGCTTGCTTTATTACATGGATGATGCAGAACCTCTGGCTTATATCTAATGCTTAGATGGTCTCTTGCTTTATTTTGGTTTTGGGATTTTTGTTGTTATTATTGGTTTAATTTTGCTAGTAATTGTAACATCCTCTTTTACTTACCAGTCTATTTTTATGTTTTAGGCAACATCTAGATTAAGAGAAAGAGGCTGTGATGGCCGCCTGGCAGGAATTGAAGTTCAGCAGCTCTTTTGTTCTCAAAGTGCAGCAATTCCTGAGCACCAACTAAAAGAACTGAACATAAAAATTGACAGTGCTTTGCAAGTAAGTTTTTCAAAGCTGGAATATTGATGTCCAAGGCAAGGAACTAGTTTTGATGTTGAACCATTAGAGTAATAAAGTTGTAATTGACCTCAAGTCTTCTAAAACTCTAAAAATTTTAAATTCCTATTTTCATTAGATTTGTCATTCTAATCTGCTGTATAATCTTGATTCCTGAAAATAATTTGTTTGCAGGCATATAAGATAGCTCTGGAAAGTTTAGGCCACTGTGAATATGCAATGAAAGCTGGCTTCCACCTGAATCCAAAGGCGATTGAAGCAAGTTTGCAGGTATCCTATCCATCTTTTTCTTTCCTTTCCTCCCTCCCTCCCTTGCTTCCAACCATCCTTCCTTCCTTCATCTCTGTCTCTCTCTCTTGTCCCTCCCCTCCTACCTTCCTTTATTTCTTTATTTATCTTTCATATGTTTATTTACTTGGCAAGTATTGATTCAGTACCTGCTACATGCCTGGGTTGGTTTTAGGAACCCCATCCCTGCTTATAGTGCATTGGAGGGGAGGACCAAAAAGGGAGGGACAAATATTTGGAAATCAGATGGTGCAGAAAGCTATAGAGAAACATAATACAAGGTGGGGACATGTTTAGGAGTGTGTGTATGGTAGATGGGAGGAAACCATACCATCTTTTTTTTTTTTTTTTTAACCTTTATTTCTCTTATTTATTCTTATGTGAGGCTGAGGATCGAACCCAGGGTCTTGCACGTGCGAGGCGAGCGCTTTGCCGCTGAGCCACAACCCCAGCCCCAACCATACCATCTTACACAGGGTGCTCTGGTAGTCTGCACTACCTGAGAACATGGTTTGTTAACATGGTGGGCAATAGAAATGGGAGCGTGCTAGGCTGGCAGGAGTAGGCTGTAGTGACTAGAATGTTCAGAGGGCTGGGAATTTGTAGAACTAGATCAGAGAGAGGAGGCAGAGGCCTATGGGGGCCTTCTGTGCCCCTCTGTGTGCCATAGACAGCACCACAGTTATATTTCTCTATCTGGTAACTCTTGGGAGCTGTGAGGGATGTTTATGTGGTCCAGTCTGAACCAAGTGTTTTGACAGATGAGGTATGGATAACCTCTCTTCTTTTCCAGGGTTGCTGCAGTGAGGCGGAAGCCCAGCAGACTGGGCGGAGGCAGACACCCCCACAGCCCATGCAGTGCGAGCTTCCCACTGTCCCTGTGCAGATAGGATCACACTTCCTGAAGGGCGTCTCCTTTAATGAGTCGGCAGCGGACAATCTGAAACTTAAGACGGTAGCTTTCCATGGGGTTCCATGGGGTTTCAGCAGCCACGTGTGAACTTGGAAATAGAGTTCTTAAGGGTTTGTGAGGAACAGATTAAAAAACAAAACAGGTTAAAGAAGGAGGCTGTGACCTTTCTTGGTAAAATGATGAACCTGGGGTTTGCACGTGCTAGGTGAGTGTGAGTGCTCTACCACTGAGCCTTCTGGTGCCTTTTTTTTTTTTTTTGGTAGTTGTAGATGGACAGAATACCTTTATTTTATTTATTTTTATGTGGTGCTAAGGGTTGAACCCAGTGGCTCATATGTGCTAGGCATGCACTCTGCCACTGAGCTACAGCCCCAGCCCTCTGGTGACTTTTTTTTAAATAACTTTATTTTGTATTTTTATTTTATTTTTTTGAATATTTATTTTTTTAGTTGTAGTTGGATACAATACCTTTATTTTATTTATTTTTATGTGGTGCTGAGGATCAAACCCAGGGCCTTGCACGTGCTAGGCGAGTACTGTACCACTGAGCCACAACCCCAGCCTGTTAATAACTTTATTTATTTTTCTATATGGTGCTGAGGATTGAACCCAGTGCCTCACACATGCTAGACAAGTGCTCCACCACTGAGCCACAATGCCAGCCCCTCTGGTGACGTTTTTAATGAAACATTTGCCAAAAAAGTTTCATTGAAATTTCATTCAAATGTTTAACCTAAAAGATTTGGAAGTATATTGTAAAATATTATCCATGATTAGTATTTCTTATGGACTTTTGAGAAGTAGGAGGAGAAATCTTATAATAATGCAGTATAGTGGCCATTTTTGGAGTAACATGGATGTCAGGCTATGCTAAGTGCTTCACGTGCATTATCTCATGTAATCCTTCCCTTTAAGGTGGGTAATGCCCTTTCTTACTTGATATGGGGGAACTGAGGCCCAAGGTCATACAGCTAGAAAATGGTAGAGCTGGAATTTGAGGTCATGGGAGCCTGTTTGCAGATCCTGCATACCTGACCATTTGGTCATCCAAAATAAAGTTGAAGTTTCAATTGGTATTTACTTTTACCAGATGATTTTGTTTCCTTATTTGGAAGGATTCAGAATTTCCAAATTCTTCAACCAGTTTGCAACAAGAGATTGCTAAATAATTTTTTACTTTGTGCTGACGTAGAAATCACGTTTGTATTAATATATGTGTATTCATATCTAGCAATTCATCATGGGATTGGAAAATCTCTGAGAGTGACTCATGATGATAATTGCTTAAGAAATCCAAATGGTATGATCTGGATGTACTTAAAATGCTTTTTTCTTGAGGATGATTATATAAATGCATTTCTATAAATTTTATAACCTTGCATGGCTTTGTTTTAAGATGTGGACTCTTTTTGTCAATTTATAGCATACAATGTTACAGTTGATCAAGGAAGCAGGCTGCTATAATGGACTTACACCCAGAGATGATTTTCCAGTGACTGAAGTACTGAACCAGGTGTGCCCATCTACATGGCGGGGTGCCTGCAAGACTGCTGTGCAGCTTCTATTTGGCCAAGCTGGACTGGTGAGTATGTGTGAAGGATGAAAAAAAATAGAAGATACATTTCTTTCTTTCTTTTTAAAAATTTTTTTTAGTTATGTGTTGAAGTTTTTTTTTATTATTTGCCTTAATAAATTTTATATTTAGTAAGATTTTGAGTAACAAAGGTAACGTAGAGTGTACATTAAATAAGCAAATATTAAGTCCCATTAAGAGAACAGTAATTCATTCCTTTCATCAGAGTCAGTGATTTAGTGTGACCTACTAAGGACCCATTTTCAGAGAGAGACTCTTCTCAGTAGCAGAGTGGCTTTGGTCAGCTCAGGACTGTTTCACCCAAGGCTATGGGTAAAATAGAGATCTCTTGCTGGATGGTCCCTGGAGTTTTACCCAGCTTTCCATGAGTGACCTCAAGTAGAACAGACTTTTCAAACATATGAGGATGTGGTACAGGCACATGTGTGAAAATAGTCAGTGACTTTCAAAGTTCTTCAGTGCTGCAAAATTTAGACCAGATTTTTTTAAATTAATTTTTTAGAAGTAGTTGAACACAATACCTTCATTTCATTTATTTTTATGTGGCGCTGAGGATCGAACCCAGAGCCTCCACATGTTAGGTGAGTACTCTACTGCTGAGCCACAACCCCAGACTCTAGACCAGATTTTGAAAAGCAAAAGAAGTACAGCATTAAAAAGTCTTTCTTGGGCTGGGATATAGCTCAATGATAGGTTGCTTTCCTAGCATATATGTGGACCTGGGTTCAAAAAAGGAAGAATTTTTCTTTTCTTTTGCAGATTGATGGTATATATTGCAGGAAACCTAGTTACAAAATAATTTTGACAGGGCCCTTGACCTGGCCCGATAATTCTGCAGCTGTAGTGGATGTTTTTATGTTGCCAAACTGCCTCCTGTCTAAGGCCTTTGCACTCTGTCCTCCTTTTACCTGGAAATCCTTTATCTCTCTGATCTTCATGTGTCTCACTCCTGTCATCTTCCTGGTGTGAGCTCCAGGATTACCTCCTCCAAGAGATCTCTCCTGACTGTGCTGGTATAAGTGGAATCCCTTTCTAGTAACTTTATGCCCCAGCTCTGTTTATCTCCTTATTAGCAATAAAATAACAACAGCAACTCAAATGTACTGGTTTGGTCTTTTCATCTTTCAGAGAAAAAAGGGGGAAAAAATTGCCAAAGTTGGGTAAGATCAGGAGATTAGCATCTGAAATCACCATTTAGGTTGGCACCATTGACCTATATATAGCCTTATTTACTTGATTCCATTTTCTAATAAATGACTACTTTTTGGACAAGATATAGTACTTCAGTCAGAGATTAGAGGAAGCTAATTAGAGAAAATAGCTAATTTAGGAAAATGAGTCTGATGTCTACTTTATTCATGTAAAGAGCTATTGGGAAGATGTTTATCTTCTGTTCCATGTAGCTGAGGGTTGTGGTGGCCCAGCTCAGGACAGTGCTGTCTTGTAGAGAGCCAGACAAGGGCCTCTCCACAGAAAAGAGCTGTTTCCTTTAGGATCTATTCTTCAGTATAGGAACCACCAGGAGAAGTACTAAGTCGGAAATACCCTGCTGAAGTATGGAAGAATCACTGCCTTTAAGAGATCAGTCCATATTCCCAGAGACCATTTAGCTGAAACTCAAAGAACTATGGCAATGCATTCTCCAGAAAGGAGTGTGCAAATAAGGTAGAAGGATACACAGGCTGTTGTGAGAAAACATTATAAGTTAAAAGGAAAAAAAAAAAAAAGTCCTATTTTACTTAAAGACCAGAAACTTTTCCTGGCCCTCTACCCCTGATTGTAGGGCACCTTTGTGTGACTGACAAAAGAACCTTTGGATTATGGTTCTGCGGGTGGGAGGAGAGAGGAAACACCTGTGTGGTCCAACAAAAGCTGTTCCTTAGACAGGAAGTGTTTCCTGAAGGACCAGCTGTGGGAACTCTGTTTATAGCAGTGGAAATCTACACCATTAGAGGCTGAATTTGGAATCATGATAAGCAACTCTGTACAACTTGACTCCTGAACTATTATAGATTTGGTTTTAAAGTGTTTAATCTTCTTTTTTTAAAAGATTTTTAAAATATGGACACAATATCTTTATTTATTTTATTTATTTTTATGTGGTGCTGAGGATCAAACCCAGTGCCTCGAATGTGTGAGGCAAGCTGAGCTATAATCCCAGCTCCTTATCATTGTTTTCTTGAAATTCTTTAGTTGTTTGAAAATATTCACATTGTCAAACTCTAGATTACATGAGATACTGTATTATCCATGTAGAATTAAAAACTCTTCTCCAAATAAGAGTAAATCATTGAAAGAAGAGTTGGTTCTTTGTCCTAAAGTAGTTCTGTATTTATTCATGATTAAGAATAAAATTTTCTTTTAAAATGTTTCATCTGAGGGGCTTGGGATATAACTCAGTGGGCAGAACACTTGCCTAACATCATGCACAAGGTCCTGAGTTTGATCCCCAGCACTGGAGGAAAAAAAAAGTTTTATCTGCCAGACACAGTAACAGATACCAGTTAACAGTAATTCCAGTGACATAGGAGGCTGAGGCAGAAGGATAACAAGTTCAAGGCCAGTCTGGGCAACTTAGTGAGACCCTGTCTCAAATTAAAAATTAAAAGAGCTGGGGACATAGCTCAGTTGTAGAGTACCCCTGGGTTCAGTCCCTATTATGGCAGGGGCAGGGAGTAAGGTACCAGTGGGTTCATCCACTCTGGCTTGTATCTAGTCATTACAAATGGTCTTTTCTGGGGCTGGGGATATAGCTCAGTTGGTAGAGTGCTTATCTTGCATGCACAAGGCCCTGGGTTTTATCAAAAAAAAAAAAAAAAGAAAAAGAAACAAATGGTCTTTTCTGAAGCTTTGGTTCATTGTTTAATCACATTTTACTTCGTTCAAGTACATAGAAAAAAAATTCTAAGATAAAAGAAACAATAATTCCGAGTTAGCATTTATAGTGTGGAAAAGTGCCAGAGGTGCTTGAAAAGTTCAGTCATATCCTACACCAATAATTCAGTTTCTGATTAATAAGGTATCTTTTTTTTTTTTTTTGAGTACTTGGGATTGAACCCAGGGCTTTGCACATGGTAGGCAAGCTGTCTACAACTGAACTATACTCCTGGCCCTTCTTGGTTTATTTTTGAGATATAGTCTCACTTAGTTACCTAGGCTGGCCTCAAATTTGTAATCCTCCTGCCTCAGCCTTCCAAGTAGCTGGAATTACAGGCCTGTACCACCATGCCCAGCTACTTTCTATTGTCTTCATGGACTGTTACTGGCCTTACCACAGTTGCACTGCCCTGGGAATAGTTCTTACTGCAATCACTCAGCATCAGTAGGCTCATGTTTCGGATATGTTTGTGATCCATTTTCCTTTCTGAAAGCTGGCAGTTGTTTTTTTTTTTCTCTCTCTCTCTCTTAGGTGGTAGTTGACACAGCACAGATTGAAAATAAAGAAGCCTATGCCCCCCAAATCAGTTTAGAAGGCTCCAGAATCGTGGTTCAAGTCCCATCTACATGGTAACTTGACTCTTATATTATACCAGAAGCCTAAGCTGTGATTGAAGTTTGCACGTCTTTGAAATGATTGCTTTGTTTGAACAAGCCCAGTGTTGGCTGACACAGCAGGTCTTGTATGTGTGTGGGGTTACGGGAAGCAATGGCGTGTTAGTAGCATATGGCATGATTGTTGGTCTATGATCAGGAAGCCAAGATGTCTGCAAAATACCCTTATTGGCCATATGTTAACTGAAATACCATACTCTTAGGTCATGATCTTCGTCACCGAGTTTAGAAGTTTTAAACTTACTGTATCATTTTCTCTAAATCACCTATTATTTCTCTAAAGTTGAGTAGAGAACATAGAATTTCTTCTTCTCCGTTGTCGATTCCAGCTACAACCCTGATGGTCTTTATCTTTCTGGGAATTGAAACTAGAGGCACTCCCCTACTGAGCCACATCCTTATTCCCTTTTGAAATTTTTAAAATTTTTGAGGTATGGTCTTGCTAAGTTGCCAAGGCTAGCTTCAAACATGATCCTCCTGCCTGAGCTCAGGAGTTGCTAGTATTAGAGGCAGTGCCACCACACCCAGCATCCCCGATGGCCTTGAGCCTCATGTCTATTAAGTACCCAGAATCATTGCAAATCTATGGACAGGGTTCTTTTTACTTATTAATTACATTTGTAACATAATAGATAAAGGATTATTGAAGGTTTTTGTGGGTGGCTTTTTGAGGTACTGGGGGTTGAACCCAGGTGTGCTCTACCACTATGCTGTATCCACAAAACTTTTTTTTTTCCCTTTGGTACTGGGGATTCCGGGGTGCTTACCTACTGAACCAGCCACATTCCCAGCCCTTTTTATTTTAGTCAGATAGGGTCTGACTATGTTGGTGATGGCACTTTGAACTTCAGATCTTCCTGCCTCAGTCTCCTGAGCTGCTGGGATTATAGGTGTGCATCACTGCACCCGGCCACAGCCCTTCCAATTTTCATTTTAGGATCTTCCTAAATTGTCTAGGCTGGCCTCAAATTTACAATCATTTTATCTCTGCCTCCAGAATAGCTGAGGTAGACAGGTACCACCATACCCGACAATAAAGGATTATTATTATTTTTTTTTCTACTCCTGGAGTTGGGGTGTGGCTCAGTGGAAAGAGTACTTACCTAGCATGTGCAAGGCCCTGGGTTCCATTCCCAGCACCCCCCCCCCAAAAAAAAGGCTACAAATCAATAAGAAAATGGACAAGGAGGTGGGTATGTTGGTATACACCAAAAATTTTAGCTCCTTGGAAGGCTGAGGGTCTGGCTTAGTAATGGAATACCCCGTGTTCAATCTCTAGTACTGAAAAAAATAAAGAAAAATGGACAAGATACCTGATGAAGCAAGGCGGGAAAGAAGAGATATTATCAACAAAAGATGAAGAAAATGTGTAACCTCATCTAATAATCAAGGGAAGACAAAGACACCGTATGATGCCATTTTGCCCAAAATGTTTGTCTTAGAAAAATAACTAAATGTTGTGACAATACTGGTTTGGGCTACACTACATGAACAGGCATTGTTAAATGGAGAATAAATAACATGGCTTTTTTGGAGGACAGTTTAATGCATCAGAAGCCTAAAATAAGGGATATGACCTCAGCAGTTTCACAATTCCTCCACTAGGGATTTGTGCATAAAGATTTGGCTGTAAAGATTGGCATCATAGCTTTGTTAATAGCAAATGTTTTCTAATATGTTTAATTTTTGCTATTAAAAATTGTAGCAAAAATTGATGAATACTTAATTATAGAGGAAATAGTTAAATCATTTAAGTAGGAAGAGATTGATGTCTACACAGACTAAAGTAGTAATTGGGCAATGCATACAATTTATATTTAAATCATTTGGGGTGTGTAGTGGGGTAGGGGGAGCTGTTATGTGTTGCTGGGGATGAATCCAGGGCCTGCACTGGCTAGGCAAGTATTTTACCACTTAACTATGCCCCCAGTCCAAAACTGTTTATTTACAAACAGTTTATAAACTGGGGGACAGGAGTGTACTGGTGACTGAACCCAGGACTGTATCCCCAGCCCTTTTTATTCTAAATTTGAGACAGAATCTCACTAAATTGCTTAAGGCCTTGATAAGTTGCTGACCTTAAACTTGGGAGCCTCCTGCCTCAGCCTTCAGAGCAAAGTTCCTGGGATTACAGGCATGCACCACCACACCCAGTATACTTGAATTATTTATTTTTGAACCGTGAGAGTGCAATGGTAGATTCTGCTAAAAGTGTTCAGAACCTATTGATGTAGTAAGTGAGGGTTGGCAGTTCATTTTGTGTGTCTCCAAATTTTCCTTCTATGAGTATGCTCCTGCCAAAATTTTAATTTGATTGTTCAGGTGGTTTATTTTCCTGAAATTAATAGTAATTTTTATAAGTACATATCTTCATTTCTTTTTTTTAAAACATTTATTTTTTTAGAAGTAGTTGAACACAATACCTTTATTTTATTTATTTTTATGTGGTGCTAAGGATTGAACCCAGGGCCTCGTACATGCTAGAAGAGTGCTCTACCGATGAGTCACAACCCCAGCCCCACATATCTTCATTTCTATCAAACAATAAATTAAAAGCTCACTTCCCTACTTTTCTATAAGATTTTGGAGTTCCTGGATTCCTAATTCAGTTTTCCAATTCATATTCTCATTGAATGCCTGAACCCTGGTGGTGCAAGCATGTAATCCCAGGTACTTCAGAAGCTGAAGCACACAATTCAGTCAGCCTGGGTAATTTAGTGAGACCCTATCTCAAAATAAGGACTGGTTGTAGCTCAGTGACGAAATGCTTGACTAGCATGTATGAGCCCCTGGATTCAATCTCCTAGTACTACAAAAACAAAAACAAAACAAAACAAAACAAAAAAAATATTCTAATTGAAAAATATTAAACTTTGTCAGGATTCTTTTTATTTTTTAAATTTTATTTATTTATTTATTTTAGCTGTTGATGGACCTTTATTTTATTCATTTATTTTTATGTGGTGCTGAGGATAGAACCCTGTGCCTCACAAATGCTAGGCAAATAAGTACTCTACCACTGAGCCACAGCCCTAGCCTCAGGATTCTTATTTTGAGGAGGACAGATCGAACTTTCATATAGTTGGGCGAATATAGACAGCTAGTATTAAGATAGTTAGCACTTCTGGATTTTCTTCCAGAACTTCTTTCCCCCATCTCCCCCCATTGATTTCCTGTGTAATTCACTACATCTCCCAGAAAAAAAAAAAAAAGAAAAAAAAAACTTCTAGAGTGTGATTCCTTGTAGAGACTCCCTCTGCTGGTAGGCTTTGGTAAAGATGCAAATTATAAAGGTTTTTGTTTCTTTGAAATTACAGGTTGAGATGTATATATTATCTGAAATGCTTGGGGCTAAAAGTGTTTTGGATTTCAGATATTTTTGGAGTTGGGAATATTTGGATGTGCATATAATGGGATATTTTGAGGACAGAACCCAAATCTAAACATAAAACTCATGTGTCATATACACCTTATACGCTTAACCTAAAGGTAATTTTATACAATATATTTAGTGTGCCTAATTTTCAGGTATAGAATTTTCAACTTGTGTTGTCATATTGGCACTCAAAAAATTTCGGATTTTTGACCATTTCAGATTTTTGGATTAGGGATGCTCAACCTGTACAAATTACGTGATTGTTGAATGCAAACAGAGTGATTAATTTACTATGTCTTTGAAAAGATAAGACTTACAAAGCAAGTCAAGAGTTTATTATATTCTCTGCTTTTAGTGTTCAGTTGCCAGAAGATGTTCTCTCTCTCTCTCTCTCTCTCTCTCTTTTTTTTTTTTTTTTGTGCTAGGGATTGAACCCAGCAGTGCTTTACCACCGAGCTACAGTCCCAGATTTTTTTATTTTTTATTTTTATTTTGAGGAAAGGTCACACTAAATTGATTAGAGCATTACTAAAGTGCTAAAGCTGGCCTCAAACTTGTGATTCTCCTGCCTCAACCTCCTGGGCAACTGGGATTACAAGCATGCACCACTATGTCTGGCTCAAATGATGTTTTTTCCCCCAAAGAAATACTTTACTTATATTTTTAAGATGTCATATCTTTTGTTTAAGGAATCTATCCATTCTTCTTTTTTTTTCCCCAAAAAATATTTACTGAACACCTTCTGTGTACCAGGCATTGTTCTGTTCTTTGGGATTTAATCACGAGCAAGACAGAGTTCTTGCCTCTCACAGAACCTATGTTGTAATGCTAATAAGCATAAGAAGTGAGTCCAAGCACTAGCAAGTGTATGAGGGACAAATGAGGAGAGCCATGTTATTTGCTAGAGAATAATTGAGGTAAAGGAGGAGAGGAGACGGGTAGATGGTGAGGTTAGTCAGGAAGGGCCTCTTTGAGGATGTAGTAGGATTTGATAGGAGCTGGCCATACTGAGAGCAGGTGGGGAAGGCAGCAAAAAGGGAGACCTGGGGAGTAAACTTGCATGATTAGAGATAGTGGTGATAAAGAGGGGGAACAGGTCAACATTTGCAGGTCCTTGGGGGATATGAGGTTTTTATTTAAGTATAGGTGAAGAGTTTTAAACAAGTCTTGGTGATTTGTCCACAGATCAGGTTTGGTCTCAAGGGCATATTATTGATCAGCTCTCAAGATTAATAAATTAAATAAAAATGCCAATTTGTGTTTTTTTTCTCCCAGAAAGAGAAATTATTACCACCAGGAACTATAATGCTCCATTTTGCAATGACACTAGCATCTAGCAAATGATCTCTTAGTGGGCAAAATCAGTGACAAGCCAAATCACAATCTGAAGTCAGCTTGGGAACATAGAGCAAATGTGTCCTGATAGTTAGTGATTCCAGGCTGAGAGAATTGGGTGCACTGAACCTTGGCCTGTTCCAGTGATCAAGATTGTCTCCCAGGAGTCTGAGGTCTGCTTGGGCACTAGCAGAGCTTGCCTTGTTGCTTACCTTTTCCTGAGCTTCTAGCTATCTACCTCTCA